TAACTAAATCAGTAAAGTTATGAAATGGGCCCCCGGAGCCCCACGATTACCTTAAAAGAAAGATGATTATAATAGATAAGGCATTGGTTGAATATTTTGATAGTATTTAAACAATAATTACATAAGTAGTTTTTATACATTTTTCGAGCAGGTTATTAAATTTAATCTAGAATATTCCAGAAAGTTATAAATTGTTACAAGGGGATAAATAGTGGGATATAAGGGATTATTAAAATGTTAGTTAGTTCTATTCATTTTTATACTGTCCCGGAGTTTACAGTTATCTAAGTACCACTGAAGATTTTTTTGATACGGGATCCCAAATGGGTTGGGATCCCATCATGATCTTTATCCCAAAGGGATCAGGATCCCACCAGAAAACAGGATCCCACCGGGATCGGGATCCTAAACTTAAATGGATCCACGGGTATCGGGATCACGACGGGAAAAGGGACTGCGACGAAATCGATACCACAATGGCATTGGGGGTCACGCCAGGGTGGTGTCCTAATGCAATCCTGGGCCACGCTGGGTATATAGGCTAGTCATATATATATATATATATATATATATAAAGTGAAATTTTGTTTGTTTGTGGGTTTGTTCCACAAAGTCTTTTACATGGATTGATGGATCCTGACCAAACTTGGCACATATATCCATCATTATCCAGTATGAATTCTTAAGGGGTTATGAATTTTTTATAACATTCCGTTGGGGGCCGGGCGCCCCGAATTCTTTTTTTTTTCCTTATATGAGTTATATAAAAATAATTAGAAACAAATACTCTAACATTAGTTGATGGATCTTGACCAAACTTAGTACTAATATACTTTATATCCATATTCAAATACCGAAGGGTATTGAACTCATAATAACCCTTTCTCTGGGGCCGGGGCCCCAGCTCATTTTTCCTTCTATAAGCTATAAGAATATCATTAGAGTAAGACAAAGGTATGATTTTATCATAATTATATTTGATTTTAATATCATGATTATGTCTCTTTCGATAATATTTTTATGTACAGCGCGGGGTACCGGCGCTATAAAAGACCACTAATTATTATTATTATTATCCTAACGGGATCGGGATCCAGCAAGAGCAGGATCCCACTGGATTCGAGATACTGACGGGATTGTGATCCTACCAGGATCTGGATTCCCCTTATATTCGGAGCCACAACAAAATGGGATCCAACCGGGATCGGAATCTCACCTGGACACGGGATTGCGCCGGGATCGGCCTCAGAATAGGATTGGGGTCCCAATGGGATTGGGGTCGCAATGCAATCCTGTGCAAGGTCGGGTATATTGGCTAGTATATATGTAAAAGTGAAAGTTTGTTTGTGGGTTTGTCTCACATACGTTTATTCATGGATTGATGGATCTTGACCAAACTTGGCACATATATCCATCATGATCCAGAAGGAATTCTTAAGGGCTTATGAACTTTTTATAACTTTCCGTATGGGGCCGGGGACCCAAATTCTTTTTTTCCCTTATATGAACTTTATAAATAAAATGACTAAAAAGTACTCCTACATGAATGGATGGATCTTGACCAAATTAGTACACACACACTTGATTATCCATATTCAAATACTGAAGCGTACTGAACTAATATTACCCATTCTTCTGGGGCGATTTTAATATTTCCTAATATAAGCTATATAAATGTCAGTGGGCTTAATACTCCCACATGAATGATTGGATCTTGACCAAACTTTTAACACATATACTAATCATCCATATTCAAATATCGAAGGGTACTGAACTCATAATATTCATTTCTCTGGGGCTGGGGGCCCCAGTTAATTTTTCCTTATATAAGCTACATGAATATCAATTGGGTTAGGCAACGGTAGACGTTTTATGTGCATTTTCCAGAAAGTTCGATAATTTACAAAGCTATTTCCATGGGATTTTTAAGTCGATTTTTACTGGGACACATTTTAAATTTTAACTCTATTATTTATCCGCTTTATATTCATACATTAAAATGGATGTTATAAAACGAATTTTTTTTATGATGAAATACAATTTGAAATTATAATGCAAATGTTTATTAATTAGCAAGAATTATTTTCAATTTATAGACCTTCATATCGATGTAAAGTTAGTTTAATAGAGTTTTATTAAAGTCTTTCAATTTGTGCAGCTGCTAAATAAAAATAAATAAAAATATCGATATATGCCAATAAGAAAAAATAAGTTTGCCTCATAATGAGGAGCGGCCAATTTTTTAAAATATACGATATTTATAATCCAACTAGCCAATATACTCGACGTTGCACGGGATTGCATTAGGACCCCATGCTTGTGTGACTCCGATCCCATTGGAACTCTAATCCCAATCTGACACCGATCCAGACGCAGTCCCGTTTCCGGTGTCATCCCGATCCCGGTGGATCCCGTTTTTTGGTGAGATTCTGATCCCTTTGGGATAAAGATTATCGACTTAGCTTTGCCTGAGATAGGGGCCCTATAAACTCATTAGGGGCCCTTTAAACTCATTAGGGGCCCTATAAACTCATTAGGGGCCCTATAAACTCATCAGGGGCCCTATAAACTCATCAGGGGCCCTATAAACTCATCAGGGGCCCTATAAACTCATCAGGGGCCCTATAAACTCATCAGGGGCCCTATAAACTCATCAGGGGCCCTATAAACTCATCCGGGGCCCTATAAACTCATCAGGGGCCCTATAAACTCATCAGGGGCCCTATAAACTCATTAGGGGCCCTATAAACTCATTAGGGGCCCTATAAACTCATTAGGGGCCCTATAAACTCATTAGGGGCCCTATAAACTCATTAGGGGCCCTATAAACTCATTAGGGGCCCTATAAACTCATTCATGTATATTGAGTTTGATAAAATTAAAACTTTAAAAAAAAAATAAAAAAAATATTTGAAAATAAAAAAATTAGAAATTTTCCGGTTGCATCCAAATATTGGACATTTCATAAAATATTATTAAATCGAGTGTTTTTTAAATTTTTAACACAGTTTCGGGAACAGCAGAGTAGAATGATTTTTTTTTTTTTTAAATACTTAGCCTTTATTTATTAAATCCCCCAACGACTTTTCTCTGTTTAATATGAGAATAATAAAGAATTTACCCCAGCTTTTTCAACAAATTTTTTTTTTAAATTCATTTTTAGATGATAATCCAGGAGAAAGAATATATAGATTTGAACAACGTGTTAAAAAATAATGAGTAGTTCGATTATCTTGTAAGTGTCATTTTTGTAATTAAAAATAAATTCTATGGAATTCATAAAAAATTGTTTTAATGTATAATATCAAAGAAGCAAGTTGTAATTGATCTGAAGCAAATTATAGTAGCTTGAAAATCTAAATTAACATTGTCGTCAACTGAAAATTGAGAATTTAAAATGTATTTTTATGCGATTTCTTTCATACAAAAAATTACACATTAAAATATATATGGTGTCTTTTGTAAACAACTCATGTCTTCTTAAAAATTATGTCGGTTACATACGATTTATAATAAATACCTATTTGAATTGAAAACTCATAAAAATGTATAGCCTTTCTATAGAAAAGCTTTTGTTAGTTGAAAAAAGAACGGTTGCATGATGTTATCCTTTCTGTCACCTCCGATTTTATTTCCTTTTGCTTATTTACAGTCACCCCTAGATATTTGAAAGTAGCTACCCTCTCAAAGTTGTGGTTGTTCATCATGATGGTGTTATTAGTGTGCACAATTCCTGACATCTTTAAGTTCCCTGATAGCTTTAATTATATCATGTTGTTTCCACCAAGTAGCGCTATATCATCTGTGTATGTCATGTATTGCAGTGGCTAGCCTTATAATGTTCCTTATGGTTGTTCTGTACTACATCTCTGGTGCTCACACGTGTGTTTCTAACGGGATATTGAAAAGGATTCATGGATTTCCTTGTCTGTGGCCCTGAGTGATTGGGAACTCCTTCGAGTACTCTCTCTGTATTTTGATTTTAATTTTGGAGTTAGCCATCGTCATATGTATGAGTCGGGTACGTTTGTTAGGGACTCCAAGTTCCAGGAGAGCACCGTACAGGTACTTCCTGTATATTCTGCCATAATTTGATTTGTAGTACACATATAGTTGGTGTATGTTGATGTTTTATTCGTAACATTTCTCCACAAGACATCTAATAGTAAATATATGAATATCTGAAATGTCTATTTTACATTCTCTGAAGGATACATTGAATTTGCACCACAATGCTTCACTGCATTTTGAATTTATTATTTTTAAATTAAGGGGACCCCTTGCCTTCACTTTTGCTCAAGACTCTTCTGATTCCTCAATTTATGCTACTCCCTTCCTTGAAGTCGATCCATGTTGAATGTTCCTTGACGGGGTTCAATCTAATCTTGTTTCAAATGATTATCTTGGGCACACCACAACTAGAATGAATTTTAGTTGATGTTTGGCTCTGGGCGCCATGATGACGCTGACGCTTGAAACATTATTTTCGCTGATCATATAGATTTTGTAAACCATTCATATGATGTATTCTTTAAAATGCATCTCTTCATTGTTAAATAATCAACAATTTTCTGGTTAGAAAAAGCCTTCGGAATGCTCAATTTCTGCCCTACTTCCCGATACAAATGGCAGCATGGCTTGCCCTGACAAATAATTTTGATAGTGATAATACTGATATATACACTGCCGAGCGGCGTGCCTAGTTTTAGCGCCACCCTAGGTGGGTTAAATTTTTTGCCACGCTACCTTTCTCGATAGAAACTCAATCTAAAGAAAAAATGACACCTGGAAAGACCAAATATTCGCCTCTCCCCCTTTCTCCATCACTGGAGTGAATCTTTGATGCCAGGGGACAAGATTCACCCCCCCCCCCCCGCTAAACTCTGAAACTCATTATTTTCATGCATTAATAATATAGTCCATAGATGCCCCCACTAGTCTGGCGCCAGGGGACATATGTCNGAAAATCTTAAGTGTCTCCCTACCCCCCCCCCCCCCCCTGTGGAAATCGTCTGAAAGAAACACTACACACAGGCACAAAGTCTTCTACGCCACTAAGAGTTGTTACTTTAGATATCTTAAATCATTTTTAGCCTATAAGATTGGGTTCCCTTTTTTTTCAACGCGACTCCATGTCACATCATCTTTACTCTGTACTTTAATTACTGTACGGTCTGTATCACTCGTGGCTTGGTTACTTTCTGACAAAGAAATAAATAGATAAAACAATATTAAAACTTTTTTAAAATGCATAGTGAGAGAGATAGAAAGGGTGTGGTGAAGTTGAAATTGCATGTGTAGTAAGGCTGTAACTCTTTGTTCCAAATCAGCGCAAAATAAAATTCACAGAAGGTAACACTATTTGGGGTTGTTAAAATTGCGTTACTTTGAATGTAAGTTTTGTCAATTATCTTTAGGGAAGCTCACACATTGATGTCATCCCATGTTTGCGTGTTATTTCTAGTGACATCAAATGTAAAAACCACTAAATATAGTGTTATGTAGACTACGTGTTTACGTCATGTATCCCAGCGTTGTGTACTTAACTGACCCCATTCGGCTGCATTGCGCTACTATTTAGGTGTGGCTTACTAATTATAGTCTCCCTTTGACTTCGGCTCCAATTGGCTACATTTAATAAGCTATTTATTCTAAGAACCTTGTAAGAACATGTGGAATGTGTGAGAGACGATTACAATGTGTGCACCTTCTCGAGAAATCTATGAAAATGACTAAATAAAACGACATTGGACGGCAGACACCAGACGAGAGATTTGTAAGAGTGTGTTATTCTTGTTATAGAGCTTTGTTTACTGCACAAGTGTAGATTCCTATTGGTCATTGCACCTTTTTTTTTGCACATTGTGTTTTCCTTTCCCTTGTCCCGTACAAGTAAAAAAAAAAAAGGATTCTCTAAGTCAATGATTTTAATTATATTTTTTTTGATTTTGTAATTCATTATAATTAACATGATACCATTTATTAATTGTAATTAGTCCTGGTTTGAGTATCGTATTATTTGTTATTGTATTTATCACTTGGTATCGTCTTGTGTTATGTGCTGTTGTGGAACGAGCCATATACTTAAATAAGAGATTAATTTCTCCATACTGATAACAGTACGTAACAATGGGATATTCGTTAATTAACTTAATTTTTATAAATGTTACAAAAATGGATACCACAAGTTTCACGCGACTGCTGTCGCTGAAATTCTTCTGGTGAAGCAGTGGGCGTAGAAGTGATTGTTTCTTTCGCTGCATTACTTGAAATTAATATAAGATCTAATTTTTCAGGTTCATCCTTAAGCGCTGTCATTTCTGCATCAATAAAATCTTCTAAGACAAATTTCTGACTGAAAGATTCGATCTTCTCCTTGAATTCTTTAAGAAAACTGGTAATAAAATAAGAATGGAAAAATTATGTTAAATCTATCTTCCTGTACATTCAAAATTTCATTACAATGAGTAAACATTATTGTATAGTTGCATTGAAGTATTGAAATATTTAGACTAACGTTTTTAAAAGGGGGAAAAACTTACATTTGGTCCGAACTATCAATGTGAACATTGTTTTTATCGCTGCTAGAAAACTTGCTGATGAGGAGAGGTAGGAGTCCCGCTACAAACGTTATGAAAACTTGATTCAATGGAGAAATGTAGCTGACGTATCCATATGCCATGACGACAAGGAAAACAAAGATGATGAATAATCCAATCTTAAGGAATCGAATCCCAGCCTGTAAGCAACAGTCATTTATTTTAACATTTGATCGCTTTTAAATCGAAAAGCTGGGTTTTTTTTTTAATTCTTAGGTATGAAATTAATGTCAACGATATTGAGGAAATATCATTGAGGAGGATTTCACAGACTATAAAAAGAGGCATGAAATACTAGGAATGAAAGAACTCCAAAATCATTTTTTGGGAATAAATCCTTCATAAACTGTAATACTGAGCAATTGAAGGGTGAGCTTAACAATTTTTTTCAAATTAATTACTGTAACGCACTTTCTTAGAATCCCAATTAGTCCCCCCACCCCCAAACCTCGTAACAGCACATGTTGTTCACGTCCCTCAACTATTTGAATATTGTAATGACCCACCACTTGTACACCGCATACTAATTTTACACGAATTCAAGGGGAAAAAAAGGAAAATATTACGCACCAAAAGCACTTGCGATATATTTTTAAATAATCTCATTTAGCAGAGTTGTCGGGAATTTCCTTTTATTCTTGCCCTTTGAAAATGGAGAAAAAAAGGAATTTTGGGGGTTGGGGCTAAATTTTGAAAGAATGTGTTGTAATCGGCAACGATTCTATGTGCCAAGTTTCAGCTCGATAGCTTGACGGGAGGTGGGTCAATTAGCCGTCCGATGTTTTTGCTACCCAGCAAGCCAGTCAGCCAGCAAAAAACAAAAGCGAGGTTAATATAAAGGATTTTTTTTTTAATGTGCACAGTGTTTGTGACTTCAATCGTTGAAAGCTTTTAAAGGAAAAAGCTTGGTGTTTCTGGATTTTCCTTGATGACGAGGAAGGGGATGTTTAGGGAAATCGTGTAGATCTGTGTCAAGATGACGATCAGCTTAGTTAATCATCGCTAACTTATCGACAGTTGTCAAATTGCAACATTAAATCAGCTTTGATATTTTGGTGAAAAAGAAGAAAAAATCTTAAAGATATTTTTAATCAGAAAATTCCGGGTTTGGGAGGGGGGGGGGAGTCGGAACAAAAGAAAGCCAAGACATTAAGTTCATCAAGTTAAAAAAAAACATTCTTTTATTGCCTTAACACTCTAGGTCAGTACTTTCACCAAAACAAAAAATTATACTTTAAATATTTTAAAGTGAAAATTTCAATTTTCAATAATGATCAATTAACAAAATACCCACTCACTTTTTCATAATTGTTCCACAAAGTTCCCGGAGCTCCCATGCACTTCATCGTGGCGCAGTGAAGAAAAAACTTCATGGACATTGTTTTTTCTTTCAAGTAAACAAACGGGTGTTTGAGCTTAACACGCAACTTGTTTTTCCGGACTTCAAACAGTGGATCCTTTCTTTCTTCACACCATTTCAAGAGGCAAGTTGTAGACTTCTTCTCTTTTAATGCGGTGCCTGGTGAAAGTTAAGGCAAAGTTACTGTCTCTAAATAATACAGTGGGAAACATTGAATATATACAACCTTGGACGAACCCCCTAAAATTGTGCCACCCACCCCAACCTATCATTATTTTCATTATAGCATTGGCGCTAATAATTAGTAACATACCTAACTTAAATTTTATAATGAAAAAAATGTTCATTACGCGGCATAGTTATATATAAACGAATGAATTTCACTATGAATGTCCCGTGTACGCTCTTACAATATTCATTCGAATGCGATGAAACTTTGGTGAGTTGTGCTTGGTACGCCCTCAAAGGTTTCTAAATTAGTCCGACCATTTAACAATATTCCGTTTGGGGCCAGGGGCTCAAAATTATTTTTTCAAGGTACTTGGAGCTCTATAAATATAATTTCAGACAGATCTGTTGCATGGGTGGATCAATCGTTACAAGTGTGTGGACTAAATTTTGAAAATCCATGCTTCTTACATGGACAGAATGTACGTGAGCTGTTTACGTGACGAAAACCCTTCTAACGTATTCCTGTAAGCATCAGACGAAAAAACAAAAAGTATTGTCTCTAAAAAGAGTACTTCAAAAGCATAATTAAAACACAAACAATTTCTTTCTGTTATGTATAACATTTTACACTATTTCCCCGTGCTTGAATTTTGCTTGACCCAAATTAGATCCCTAGCAGACGTTAGCGTGTGTTGTGGGCGTGGCCTATTCGTTTGATGTATATTGTTGACTACCGCCTGTCCAATTAAACCTTGATGGACTGCCTCCTAGTATTTTATAGAATGTTTGCGATTGTTCTAGCAATGTAAACAAATGCTGAGTAGCTGCTGGAAGGCAGGGCTTACGCGTCGGTAGACCCACCTATATAAGGGATTGATAGAGAAAGAGAGAGAGTCAGACGGAGATTACGATAGGTATTATTAACTTCACGAGAAGTGTATTGATCTTTGTGTTCTTATATATGTGTTTATTTCGTATTTCATCATTATTCATTGGCACATTATACGAACTGTGTTAACTGTGTACCGGTACAAGATCTACCATACTTTAAGTTGAAGATTTTCATCATATTTTCTTTTCTTTTGTTATTATATTAAGACTTAATAAATCTTATTAATTGTAACTAGAAACTGTTTTGGGTGTCGTATCTTTAATATTGTTGACTCTATGGTATCGTCCCTTGTTAGATACTGTTTACAACGAGCCAATTAAAAGTAAAATAGGAGATTAATTGCTCATATTAGAAGCCAGTGTGTAACATTTCTGTGTGGGACATTGCAAAGCAGACAGGCTAATCTCTTGCATATATATATACACGAGAGTAATATATATATATATATATATATATATATAAATATTACAACTTCTCAGCTTCAGTTCAATGCCGCAAGAGCCAAATTAGCGAATGAAAAACCCAAATGCATGAGTCAAGTCGATGAAATTGTACATAAAAAATGAATATTCAACATGCTGGGACAAGTAAATCTAACCAGTGGCGTCATTAACTTTGAGTGCAGTAAACCGTATCCGGAAATTTGATCGAAAGAAGTTTCGTCGACGGTAAATTGATCGACGGTCATATGATCGAACGGAAATTTGGTCAAATCTTTTTTCAGTTTTTACGTTACAATTTGGCTTCAAATTTCTTTTTGAGCGCATTATTTTGTTTTACTATATAGTACGGTGCGTTCAAACAGAAATTTGATAAAAATTTCAACGTGTGATCTGAAAAAAGATTCGACCAAATTTCCGTTCGATAAAACCCACGTTCGGAGACTGGCGAATCACACGCGCATAAGATTGCGGCAGATGCCACGGACCAAGAAAAGCATGCGTTTGACAGGACACTAGGATAAATCAAGACGTTCGAGGGCAGGGGAGCTCATCGGGCAGATGTGAGAGGGAAAACACACAGTACCAACACTGACCACCAAGCATGAACATGACGGTGGCACTAAAATAATTAGGCATTAGAATAGAACGGGAAGTAATCTCTAGAGACACTTCGGTCGGCTCGTGGACCTATAAGAGGAGATTGTTAGACTGGAGGTGGAGTGTCGAGCAGAGCGAAGCAGGGGAGAGTTAAGCCGGACGGAGGGCGAGCCGGACAGTCCACAGGCAGGAGTAGAAGGTTAGACATGAGAAGACAGTAACTCGGGACAGTCAGAGCAGGGTTCCAAGGCCTTGATTGTTGACCAGAGCAAATAAAGTGGAGGGCTATCAATCAATGTGTCGTTTTACCTGAGTGTTGTAGTAAGAGAGACAGAGAGAAAGAGGTTACCATCCACATAAATAAGAAACGAGTTGAGATAAGGTGGATTTCCTTACAATGCTCTAAAACATTCTTTATTGAATGAAAATATAATTTAAGAAAAAACACATTCAGCCTTTTCCCCCTCTAAAGGTCGTCAAAGTTTAAGAATGAATATTTTACTGAATAAAGTATAATTGTAAAACATATGTTCTAATGTTTATTTATTTAGGCATTTTTATATAGCGCTTACCAAAAAGCTCTAAGCGCTTTACAATTATTAAAAACATGTAAACTAAGTAAAATAAAAATGAGACACTAGGATATGCCAATAAATATGCCAATACATAGATTTATGAAAAAGCAGTGTTTACAAAATGTTTTTAGTTAATGATCCGATGGATAAGTTTCCCATTGCACCATGGACCAGGCTTCAAATTATGTCACAAATGACTGGGGCGGGGGTACAGGACAGAGCTCCGTTGTGGTTAAGATAACTTATTGGATGGACGGAAACTGCTGTTAGTTTAGGGACGCCATTGTTATGGGGGTAAAATTAAGGTAAATAGATTGTCTCATCTTGGAGATAGAGGGGAGGGTTTCTTTCCATGACCTGGCATGATAACTTTTGGGTTAACAACGGGAAGTTCTAATTGACCGGAAATTAGGGTCAGGGGTGTGTTTACAGATATTATTTCTGGATCACCTATGGGGGTAGAGAATCACATATAAGACAGAACTTTTCATGATAGTGCTTAGTTGATGAGGAAAGAGAAAACAGCTACGATAGAATTGAGCAGCTGTTATGGAATAGTCGCAAGAGATCAGGAAACGAGTTCGCTAGTTGGAACATAGGCGACGATATAGTTTAACAGTTTAGGAACAGTCGTAGAAGGCTGACAGTTAGTGAACGCTATAGAAGAAATTTTTATTTGAGTAATAAATATAGTCTATTTTATCATTGGACACCTGGAGTTTGTTTTGTTGGATTTCGTTCAAGTCTACGTTGTTCTTCTGTCTGTCTCAACGCCTAGACACCCACCATATAAATCACAGAGAGGAGCGGTCCTGTACTCAACACTACTACATCAATACAGTTTGTGATAAGTCAGGACCGGAGCCCTCCTCCGTAACAACCGTTCTGTGACAAATTCATAGATCACTTCTTTTTTTGTTGGACCTTACATATTTGATCTAATCACTAATTATCCGTGATCAGATGTATCGATAAAGCATAAAGTTCAGTGTGACTATGTGTATTTGTTAAGGATCGATAATCACAAGAAAAACAAACAGTGGAGGGCAACCAAATTTGACATTGTCTTCCCACATGACCAAAAGATGGGTCCGGGAAAGTGTTCTCATGATCATCTTATCTCAAAGCTGTAGTTTAAAAATCGTTTATTGTAGAGTGTAAAGAGTAAAGAGTAAAAAAATAATTTACAAATTGCTTCGAGTGAAATTATTTTTGGTGTCTGCATTTTAAATAAGCCTTTTTAATATCTTAACATATAGCTGCAATATTGTAAATTTGCATTATTGAAGTTATACATTTAACACACAAAAAGTTAGCAGTTATCATGGTTTTAATATATATTAAAGTCGTAAGGAATGCTTCACATCGAGTGTTTAATTACAACAAGAAAAAAACCAAACTGATTCGACCATTTGTGCTATCACGCATGGACTATTGCAATGCTCTCATGGTGGGTCTTCCAGCTACGCTCCTGGATAAAATTCAAATAGCACAGAATAATGCGGCTCGCATAGTTCTCAGCAAACACAAATTCGACCATGCAAAAACACTTCTGAGAGAGTTGCATTGGCTGCCGGTGCGTGCTCGCATAGAGTACAAGATCGCAACTTTGTGCTACTGCTGCTTACATGACCTGGCGCCGTCCTATCTGAAAGAGCTGCTGACGCCTTATGTACCCAGTAGAGAACTCCGCTCATCCGATAGTGGCAAACTCTCGACACCACGTGTTTGCCTTGAGACTTACGGAAAGCGCACTTTCGCATTTGCTGGTCCAACAATTTGGAACGCCCTTCCTGTCGATCTTAGAAACAACCAGACACTGGAGTCCTTTAAAACCAATCTAAAGACACATCTATTTCGCAAATACCTTCTGGGATGATTGTCTACCTTATTTTCCAGTTAATGCATAATGGCTGTGTTGCTTGGGGTTGAAATGGCTAGAAAGACTTTGAGATTGTATGCTTGTAATTAGTTTTTGTAGTGTTGCGTTTGTTTTAAGTGTGGTAAATTATAGATTTGTTTTTTGTTGACTTTGTACCGTGCTTCGAGCCTTTGGGGATGAAGCGTGTTTTTGAAATGAAATTTATTATTATTATTATTATTATAATGCGATGCTCTCTATTAGGCACTATCGTCCCTTGTGAATGTGTGCGAAAGGGCATTTTATTGCTGGCTTTTAAACGATAAACAAATGGGGGAGAAATATATGTTGTTTTCAGGTTTCTAGACTGACACTTTGGGAAGCCCTTCTTTAAAGAAATATAATAGATTTAACAATAAATTTAAAAAGACAGTACATCAATAGCTCTCACCTGGATGAGAATTTTGTTGTATTGCGTCCTCACTGTTAAAGTACAGACGTTTACATGTGTCTGTCATCAGAAGAGACTTCATAAAGACGTTGTAAGGCGTCTTCACTTCAAGAAAGCAATCACGGATGTACACAAGCAACAAGATCGTTATTGGAATTATGGAGTAAATGGCAGAACCATTCACTATTGCTGTGATGATAAGGACGGCCACGGTATTGACTAAATAATTGACTCCACAAATTAAGACAAAGGCCACCCAACAGAATGTAAACCATTGGGCTATTCTGATACATTTGCAAATCTTACAGTCATTGCATTTTCCTGCCGCTGATGTTTTACATCTGCACCAACAGAAGCGGAAGAACGTACAGACAATCAGCCCCAAAGGAGTTGTTAAGATGAAATAAATGATGAATGCAATAGGTGAGAAAAGGACTGCAGAAAAAATAAAGACACGCTGTGAAATAGAGACGCAAAACTTTCCTTGTCCAAGGCGAAAGAGACGTTTTAACTTTTTTCGCATCGAGCGAGCGATACTGATTTTGATCTCCTTGAAGTCAGAGAGGCTTGTGTAGATCGTCCCGGTATCGTGGCTGGAGTAAGTGCAAATGGATAAACTTAGGGCATGAAGCAGGCACATGGAATAAAAAAACGCTGTCAGCCACATCCCAGCTATTGCGGGTACACGCCAGTGAAAGTATACCGATTCCGAATAACCTCGTTGGCTGTAGGCGCTCACAACTTTCCTGAACCATAGTTCGTCAGTACACAAAATTCTAGCAAGTGGATAGCTTGGACTAGCTAGAATAGATAAAATCAATATAATCTTCATGAATCTCTTAAGGCCCAAATACAGTTTAGAGCATGTCTTGTTCTCACAGCATCCTTGATGGTTCTATAATGGGAAAAAAAATTAAAATAATTTATAATTACACACTTGTAAAAAAGAGAAACTTTTATGCCCTAATGATAGAGGGTTAATGTCATTTCAAGTAAAATGTAAACATTAGTAATATCAAAAGATGCTGATCATTTCTTTCTTGCTAATTTTTGTATACGAAAATGTCAACAAAACCCGATGTGACTCTTCGATTTAAAATAAACTGTATCCATGCTAATTTTTCTTAGATTATTTTATTTTTTTTTTTAAATTAGATCATTTTTTTTCTTTTATTGTCTTACCTCATTTTTAAAATAAAAATCAAGTGCATTTCTGAATAAGCTGAAAGTAGTTCTGTACATGATGAAAACCTTCTTCATTGAAATTTTGACTCGCGCCCTCTTCACACAAACTTCAAAATTGTGGCATTCGTTTGTATTTTGGCCGTTGGAAGGCTGTGGACTGTCCATACTCGCTCTCAGCTTTTGCTCTATGTCTTGCTGAAACTGTTTCATTCTGTCATCACGCGTATCCAGTTTTATTATCGGGATAGTTTTAACGTTACTGGAAATGAAAGGTAGATTCTATTTATGATGCGCAGCCAAAAACTGTAAGATACATTTATGTGACGTACAAATGCATAGAAATAGGTAATGCTCGTGTTATCTCACTACTTAACACAACACACTCAAACAAACACACACGCACTCACACACACATATATATATATATATGATTACAAATTAAAAACTGTCTCAATGATATCTAACTTTTATACCTTCATAATTTCAAATGAAAATGATCTTTTTTTTTTTTAAATTTAAATTCCATTTCTGTTTTAAACTAATTATCTTCCAGATTTAGCACACGTCACGAGTTTATGAAAACAATTCTGATTGTTTAATATTAAAGAAAGCTTTAACATTTCTCTTGGTATGATTGTTGAGAAAATCTGAACGTCTAATGTATATCCTAGAATATATGACCCGATGTTACCGGGAAAATAATGGAGAATGCGATACATTCTACCTGATATTGCGAAGTACCGCATTCTAATAACAAATTTGTATGTATATAAATGAAAAAAAAAATTCTTTTAAGTACCACATTATTCCACGAACTTGAAAGGTGTACTTTACAACTTTTTAAATCAGGTATTCTTCTTTTAAAAAAGAAGTTTCGATGTATAGTTGTTTATGTTACTAACATCACTTAATTTGAGAAATATTTATCTGTCATATACTATAGGACTACCTTACCCCTTTTCTCCCCTCTGAACTAAAATAAAAATATTTCATTAGATTTAAAACTACGTATTTACTGGTACCAATTACCTGTGTGTAACACATTTGATTTTACTATGCTTATAAAATACGCCCAACGATACGATGGCTTAATTTGTGCTGTTGGGGGGGGGGATAGTTTATACCCATCCCAACATACAAATATTTTATTATCTTTTTAATACATTCAGCCCCTGAATTTTAACACGTCTAAGCTGCTAACGCAAACTTTTTGAACGCGCCTAAATTAAATATACATTATATGTCCAGACACCAGTTTTAACATAACATAAACTAAATAGCCTAACGAAATTAATAGTTCAATACTAATTGGGGTATATTTAAAAATATTTATTTTTTTTAATGCAGGAAAAGATACTAAATATAATATTTAAAATATAGTATTTAAAAATTAACTCTTTATATGTTAAAGCAGAAAAGGGTCACATACTTAGTTCAAAATTTTATTTAAATTATCTAAGTACCAATATTTAAGTCAGTATTTTCTTTGCTTAGATATATTGCTATGACAAAAATGACGTCATCCAAGTACATACAATCTATTTTTAATGTACAGCCCCTCCCTTATTTTCCACGCCCTTGAACTGGTGAAATCATGGTGAAATCATGGTGAAATCATGGTGAAATCATGGTGAAATCATGGTGAAATCATGGTGAAATCATGGTGAAATCATGGTGAAATCATGGTGAAATCATGGTGAAATCATGGTGAAATCATGATGAAATCATGGTGAAATCATGGTGAAGTCATGGTGAAATCATGGTGAAATGTTTCACTCACTATAAAAAACACGTGGTCCTTTTTTTATAGAAGACGCTTTTAATTATTAGATCTGATAGTTATTGATGGGTGCAAGTACCGGTCATTACCTTGATCACCGTCACCTACCAGCATTATTATATATCAATGTAACAATCTTATGTTTAGATTTAGATTATGTTTAAGATAAGACCATCACTATAAAATGTCTACATTAATTTGAACAAATTAATTACACATCTATCTGTTTTATTGTCTATAGCATGGGTTCGTTTTTCTAACATCTGAACATTGTTGTCTATAGGAAAGATATTTTGACACGAAATGCATCCCCATTTTTACATATTTCCAATAATTACCAACTGTCTTCTAACTATGGCGCCGTAATAATCCTTTTAACATCATCATAACAAGCTCAAGTAACGGGGAGGAAAGATTAGAGACAGTGGGCAGTTTCAAATACATAGGAGGAATAGTCTCGGAAGAGGGCTCCAAGCCCCGAATTGATGTCCATGATTGCCCAGACCACAACAGCACTAAAGAGTCTCAATAAAATATGGAACAACAAAAATATAGCCACCAGCACCAAAATCAGGCAGATGCGCTCATTAGTCCTGTCCATTTTCTTGTATGCCTGTGAGTCCTGGACATTAACAGCAGAACTTGAAAGAAAAATAAAGGCGATGGAGATGATTTGTTTCAGAAGCATTCTTGGCATCTGCTAGAAAGACCATATCGTCATTGATCAAATGAAAGAAATGATTCGTCTGGCCATTGGTCAGTACGATGACCTCATTGTGACTGTAAAAAAAGCGCAAACTGTAATGGTATGGCCACGTGACAAGGAAACAAGGGCTCAAAATTAAGTTGAACCCACTTATCTCGACCTCGGTTAACTCACCAACCCTGTTAAGTCGACGATTTTGGAAGTGATACCGCCAAATTCTCTCTTTGTCTTAGCATTTTCTCATCGTTATGTCGATTCTTTTATGTTCCCAAACCCTAATGTCTCGAGCACAAAAGGGGCCAAATTTGCCACCTAACTTCGGTTATCTTGAAACCCATGACCAATCGCCGACTTTTGAACTCCGCTAGAAGAAATAGCAAACAACAAATAAACAAGTTTTGCATATAATTTTTTTTTTCTCAAAATATAGGACTTCTGTTTTAGAATTAACCTATAATTAATTTAAATAAATATGTTTTATTTTGAGGTTTGAATTTGTTAATTAGAGTCCATATTATAATTGATCATAATCTGCTGTGTGCAAAACGTTGTCATGGGCAGCCATTCATGGTCACTCGCATAATGGCTATGCCGTGGTACTACGTCAGAGTTTCATTCATAAGAGTTTGCCGTGTGCAAAAACTATTAAACCATTGGTCAAGGGAAGCTTTAATTAAATAGCCGTGTGCCAAAGTTGAAAGTTCAAAATAAGTAGTCCCTGAATAGTATTTTAGTAATGATGGGATGCGTTGCCTTATATAAACTATATAGTCTTTGCGCATGACGCGTTCAGAAGAATGAGGTCACACAGTGTGGAGGCTTGGTCCATAGCAGAAAATACCAAACGAACTCGGACGTTAAAAATTAGTGGCTCAAAAATACTAAAGCTAAATTTTGATTCTGGTTTCATTATTTTTGTTTGAAATTTGCTCTAAATAACTGTAATATTTAAAATAGTTTTATTAATTTTATTTACTGAAGTACCTTCATTTATTAACGTAAATCATGTACGGTACATAAAGAAATTGAAAGCCCATGTTAATATATTGCCGCCATATTGGTTTTCATTTATCTCGATAATCGGTTATCTCCACGCTTTATGGCCAACCCCTAGGCCGTCGACATAACAGGATTCTACTGTATTATTACTCAATAAAAATAAAAACAACAACAGATTTTCTGATTTTCCCCAAAAATATGCTTACGAACTAATGATACAGAGTGGTTACATTTTTATGAGGATGAAAATATGTCAAAACCCAATCACTTACACCAATGAAAATGTAATCTAGAAAATAGATCCACATTTGTTCCTCTACAGTACATTCGTGTGTTCAAATGTTCAGAAAAATATTTTTTTTATTTCCACTTTGCAAAATACAGTTCATGGAAAGGTGGGTATATATTTTTTATAAGATTCATAATATTTATATTTAAAAAAAAAACTTTTTACAGAAGTGCAAATTAGTTTAAAATATTCAATTTTCCAATGGTATAAAAGAGAAGATTTGGTCATTTCTTTTGCAAATAACAATATATCAACTTCTTAATTTAAAATACAATAAAGATGATAAATATTTTTTTTTTAAATTTATGAACATGTTTTTATAATTTTTAGAAAAAAAACAACATTTTTTTTTATCGTTTGTATATAGGGGCGTGAAAATGGGTAGGGTAGATGTATATTATGTTGCAGATACATATTTCTCAAAACTAAATTCTATTAAAAGCGTAAACATAAGACTTTGATACTTCTTTTTAAAATAAGAAAAGTCTGAATAGCATTATTATAAATATATATTTCAAGGGCATGAAATATTGTCGTACTTTTCAAAATTATATTGTTAAAAATTTGGTTGTTAGGAGTTGGGTCTTCCATTAATATCCCGGCAACATCAGGTCATATTTTCTAGTTTTCAAGAAATTAAAAATTAAATTGTATCCCCTTACTGATTTTTACTCTCGTTATTTTTTAAAATTTTGTGTATGAGATTAAAATGTTATTGTAACCTAATAAAGATTTAGTTTTGTTAAAGTATTCTCCCCGCCCCCCCCTCCCCCACACTTTTTTGATGATGTGTCGAGTACTTACATGTTTTCATCTGTTGTTACCTTCATTACAAATTTTATTTCACTTCCTTTGGCTGGGATAAAATCATATTCATCCTTACTGTTGGAATAGAATTGAAATATAAAATACGAATCATAATAATTTTTAATTAATTTTTTTTTTTAAATTCATTTTTAAATAATCGCTCTCATTTGTTTTGAGCGTCAGTTATTCAATTCAAAGATACACAAAAATGTTTATGAATAAAGTCACACTTAATGAAGTAAGCAGTGAAGAATCATGCTTATAGGCTCTCTTTGGTACAAAAATGTTAATGTCACCATGTCATCATCATCATCATGGACCGTTGGGGCGCTACAGATGACATGTGAACTATCCTCCTCCATTCGTCTCTGTCTTCTGCACTACGCACAGCATCGCCCAGTGTTAGTCCTGTCCACTCTTTGATGTTATCCTCCCATCTTTTTCTTTGTCTTCCTCTTCTTCTCCCTCGTCTTGTGGTGCCCTGCAATATTTCTTTGGCAAGCCCATGTTTCCTTGTTACGTGGCCGTACCATTGTAGTTTGGGTTTTTTCACAGTCACCAGTAAGTCATCGTACTCCCCAATGGCCTGACGAACCCTTTCTTTCACTGTGTCATTGGAGATATGGTTCCTATAGCAGATGCCAAAAATACTTCTGAAACATCTCATCTCCAACGCCTTCATTTTCCTTTCAAGATCGACTGTTAATGTCCGGAATTCGCAGACATACAGGAAAATGGAGAGGACTAAAGAGCGCATCATGCTGATTCTTGTGCTGTGGGCTATATTTTTGTCATTCCATATTTTATTGAGCCTCTTTAGTGCTGTCGTAGTCAGCGCAATCCTGGACATTAGTTCGGGCTTGGAGCCTTCTTCTGAGACTATTGCTCCTAGGAATTTGAAGCGGCCTACAGTATCTAGTCTTTCCTCCCCGACCTTAATTTCAGTGGTGATGCCTGTGGTGTTATTTGTCATCAGTTTTGTCTTTTCGGCACTGATTAGCATGCCGTAGGACGACGAGGTCTTATCGAGACACTTTACCAGGTTGGCTAGCTCTTCTTCGTTCCCAGCCAGTCCATTTATGTCGCCATGTAGCAGGTAGCAAATAGATCGGATGCTGTCGAGTTCAAGACATTACCTCCCAGGGCCGCTTTAAAAAAGTGGGAGGTGGGTGGAGAAGTTGTGAGCGAAGTGGGAAGCCGTCCTGAGTAACAATATCGTCAAGTGTTCATTTAGCTCTGTGCCTTTGGCATGTATAATTTGTTGATAAAACAGTATGCGCAAATCTCAGCCTTCGCCCAGGGCGTTGCTTTCCCTCGTTCAGTCTATCTCTTTGCTTTACACGAGGAATGCTCTTAGCATGCAAAGGAGCACCCACATACAGAGTCAGCTCTCGAATGACTAGAATAGAGTGGTTACCGTTGAGTCGATGGACTAACACTCACATAAAAGTACAATCGTTGTATATTTTTGTTTTAAGTACAAATAGAAAGACGGCAGAAAATCTATATCTGAATAATTCTCTTATTCTTAACACAGACACACGAATTGCCACTATATTTAATAAGAAATGTAAATTAATTTTTTATTAAAGGTCGCATATAAACGCAATATGTAAACTAACGTAAACATTGTGTTTCAAACGTAGAACTACACGTGAGAATTACTTGTTTTACATGCCGGCACGAAACTTATGACACATAAACGAGCTCAGATGTCACGTATTGTTTTATATAACTTCGAATGCCTTATTTAATTATTTGCATTGCCAAGAGAAATTTCCAGGTGTGTTCTAAACTACAAAGTTGCTATTAAATTATTAACATTGTATAAATGAAAGGCTCAGTTCATTCTATATCATGGGAGCCAAGAAGTCTAGACACACACAAGTAAGAATACCTGTTAGGTTTGAAAATCATCGCAGGGAAATAAAGAGCCAGAATAACCGTCACTGAAATGATGAAGAAAAAAAGGGCTATCATCCAATTGCTGGCTGACACGTATTTGCAATACACGTGATCTTTCTCATCGTACCCACAGCATCTGCACACAAACAGGTTATAAAGTATTTATTGAAATACGTCTTATGAACATTGGCTTAAATTTAAATAAAATTATCGTTGAATTAAAAGTTATAAATAATCATGAGAAACGTAAGCTTTGACTATAGCAACAAAGTCTCCATTTTATTTATCCTTAAATAATGACGTTAATATTTGACCCCATTAATTCGAATTTTACATTTTTCAATGAGGTTATTATCATTGTCTTGACTTGTGTTTGGCACATTTTTTTTTCTGGCATCCTTCCGTTGCAATGGGAGGAAGGAGGGTGTAGACTTCGCAGGACAAAATCAGAAGACCTGGGATTGTTGTTCTTGTAGGAGTGTAAGCCGGTTAATTAGACAGCAAATCGTCTCACTCCGCGCCACTGGATATCCCGGCGGCACACAGCTTGGTGCCAAGAACTTCGTAGGAGTTGCCGGATTGTCTCATTGTGTCAATGTTATCTCAGAAGTTATCTGTCTACGGGACCCCACCTCCGGGTTTTATTTCAGAGTTTCCTTCTCTTAGATGAGTTGCCATCCAAGGTTAAGGGGTCCTTTCCTGGGCTGCTGGTGATGTTTTTGCTTGGCGTTGTCTTTGGTGACCGTACTCTAGACCACGAGCTTTTGATTCACTCAGTTTAGAACACTTGACCACCCAACAATGATCATCATTAAAATTATTATAATAGCGATGCACTAAAAGAAACACTATACATGAATTTAAAATCCCAATTCTATTAATACTATTAATTCAAAATATTTCAATCAAAATATTGATTTAATAGTTCCAGGATTTAAAATATTATTATCTGATAATCTGATATTAAAATGTAAACTTTACTCAATAAAAATTGCAAATACTATTTACTGGCTTTTTAAAAAAACAAAATCTTCAATAGCATACCTATAGCTAAGAGCAGCCCATATATTCCGTACATCAAGTTTTGTTGAACAAATTTCAACGTCTTCCGATAATTTGAATGAATGTTTCACTGAGCTTGAATCTAAGTTAAAGTCTGAAAATTATTATTTTTTTTTAAATATAATTTAAAAATATAATTTAAAAATATAATTTAAAAATATAATTTAAAAATATAATTTAAAATATATATCTATTTGTGTGTGTGGGTGGGTGTTGCGCGTTGCCAACTCTAGGAATAAGGAACACACAGGCTAAGGTGTCACTGCTGTGGGTAACCCCAAGCATATACACACCCACTGAAAATAAAAGTGCTGGACCTTAAATTCTGTGTTTGGTCATTCACACACCCGAAGGACCAACTCTGCCGCGTGGTTGCCCCATGACCAGCTCTTGACGCTGACGTCATTATTTCCTTGTGCTTCCTGTAGCTTGTTTTTAGGTTTGTAGGTTTGTTTGTTCCACATATGTTTTGACATGGATTGATGGAACCAAACTTGGTACATGTATCCATCAGTATCCAAAAGGAACTCGTGGGGGTTTTGGAACTTTAAAATACATACCGTTTGGGCCCTTTATTATCCATATTCTAATACCAAAGTATTTTAACTTCAAAATATCAATTCTTCTTTAGGGGCCCCTGATTCATTTTTCCTTAAATAACATATATAAATAGGAACATGCTTATACAAAAGAATAGGTTCTATGTTAATTGGGAAGTATAGGCGTAGCTTGGTATACATATCCTTCATAGTCTACTGGTTTTCAAACTAATAAAATCCAATCCATTCTGGGCCGGTCTAGAATTTTCCAGAAAGTTTCAGATAATGTAAAAAAAAAAAAGCTACATCTATGGCATTTTTAAACCGATTTTAATGGGACAACGTATACATTTTAAGTTCATTAACTAGACTTTCACGGGGATATTCTCTAAACATACCTCTCATGATCCTACTGGGGACAAAATCCCACTGGGAACGTCATCCCACCGAAGAACAGGAACCTAACGGAGAACGAGATCCAACAGTAAACTGGAACAAACCGGTAACATGATCACATCGGATAACGGGATAAAACGATACGTGATTCCACCGGGAGCGGGTTCCCACAGGGTTAGTGATGCTGACGGAATGGGGATCCCACCTGTATCGGAATCCAGCCAGTATCTGGACTCCAAAGGATCGGGATCCCACCGGGATCAGGACCTACCGGGATTGGGATTCCACAAGGAAACGGGGATCCCATAGGGATCGGGAAACCGAGAGGGCTTCAAACGGGATCGGGATCCCATCGGGATACCTCCTGGAATCGGGAGCAATAGGAAAACGGGATCCCATCCGGCAACGGGATCTGATTGGAATCCCTCCATATATTATACGTTTGAGCTACACCCGAGTCTTAATGCATGCGGCTTATGTCAACGGTCCTGCCACGAAACGTTGCCATTATTGAGGTGTGGCATGTCCAGAAAAGCACTGCATTTCTTCATAGTAATTTGGGGTAGTAATCTTAGACATTACTAGTCGGCGATAACCTTATTTTCGTCACTTCCAACAATTTCGATTTTCATTAAAAATATTTGAACTTGTCAAGTGTATGAGGCTGGGGTATCAACATAATAATAATTGTCTCTTTTTCAAGTAAACATCTTACCTTTTAAGAGATAGTCTTCAAGAAGTGCTTCAGCTTTCTCTTGTTCTACCTCCATAAAACAGCCAGGTGGTATGACCATTAGCTCTATGTCCACTTTCTTGACGTTTAAATCCAAAATATGTTTCAGATAGCCAAAGTACAGTTCGTAGGACAGTAGTAATTCTGAGCTGTGTGTTCCTTGGGTTCTGTACCATCTAGAGTACGAATAAACAAGGGAATAAGGCGTTTAATGATGACATTTATTTTTAAAGATATTTTTTTTATATGAAAAGTTATTGATTTTTTAAATAGATCAAGATCATTTCATATATGATTTTACTTTTTAAACAGATATTTTCTTGAATAATTTCTCATTTAAAATGGTTTAATTTACTTAAACATAAAATAATTTTGAAATTAATTTATTTAGCTAATGTTTCTGGTAATTTTAATGTCATCCTACGTTCCCCATTTTTATCTTGTTGAGCAAAAATTAATACATTTTGAAATCCATCTATAATTTACATTTTATTTCAATCAGTATATTATATTACTAAGAACAACAATCTCACATATTTGTTTCCATAATTTGGTAGATTCAGTTTTTTTTTCTGTTTGTGTTTATGTTTTATTACTACAGTCATATCTCTTTCATTTCTACAGCCCTGTTTTATGGGCGTTTTTACTTTACACATTTACCCGCTGATGTTCACAATATGAGGTCCTTGTGACTTGCTGTCCCGTGGGAAGACAGAGGCGTTGAATGTGAAAATGCTGGCAATGGTTCCATGGTCAATGCCAAAACATCGACACAGTCTATTACAACCAGCATGATCAAAATTTTGGCATGATGTGGCACTGTACAGTCTGCAGAATTCCGAATAGCCACACTGTTTGATATTTATGGTGTAAGGGCAGACTCTACATTATTATATTTCTCCCTAAATCCCTAAAGATCCACACCAATGGACCCTCAAAGTTTTCAGCCGCCACACTGTTCAACTCTTATGTGCTGCAGTCAGCACGACAAATGGAGACACCGACATCTTGGAAACAGAAACATAGTTTAAATAGCCAACGCAGAGTTTGTGTCGGATAATTACAAACTATTCCGGCAAGACAGAAGAAAAAGAGGAGTAGGAGTACTCGTTGCTGTCCACGACAACACGTACTGTCACGCTGTTCCAGAATTAGATGTCAATGACTGCAAGAACTTATGCTATTGTCCTTTAAGTGAAGGTGAAGATGAAAAGGAGACGCACACTTTACGTCTGTCCTTATTTCAGACCCAACACAGCAGATGAACCAAGCTTGAGGAGGCATAAGGTGACACTTGAGGTGACACTTGAGGTGACACTTGAGGTGACACTTGAGGTGACACTTGAGGTGACACTTGAGGTGACACTTGAGGTGACACTCGAGGTGACACTTGAGGTGACACTGGAGGTGACACTTGAGGTGACACTTGAGGTGACCCTTGAGGTGACACTTGAGGTGACACTTGAGGTGACACTTGAGGTGACATTTGAGGTGACACTTGAGGTGACACTTGAGGTGACACTTGAGGTGACACTTGAGGTGACACTTGAGGTGACACTTGAGGTGACCCTTGAGGTGACACTTGAGGTGACACTCGAGGTGACACTTGAGGTGACACTTGAGGTGACACTTGAGGTGACACTTGAGGTGACACTTGAGGTGACACTTGAGGTGACACTTGAGGTGACACTTGAGATGACACTTGAGGTGACACTTGAGGTGACACTTGAGGTGACACTTGAGGTGACACTTGAGGTGACACTTGAGGTGACACTTGAGGTGACACTTGAGGTGACACTTGAGGTGACACTTGAGGTGACACTTGAGGTGACACTTGAGGTGACACTTGAGGTGACACTTGAGGTGACACTTGAGGTGACACTTGAGGTGACACTTGAGAGTGCAACACTGTTGAAGAACGCTTTTCTTTATATGGGTGGGGGATTTTTTTAACTTTCCTGTTTGGAACTGGCAGATTTCAGCCCTGACAACACTGATCATCATCTTGCAATCGTTGCTGCGCAAAGGCAATGTTCCAACAGATAGGAGAGTTGCGCATGTCAGTCCAAAGTACAACATAGGGAGCATTACGACCATGCCAACTATCGTCCGATTTTCCTCACAATCGTGATATGAACAATTTTGGAGCACATAACGTAAGCAGTCATAAAGCATCGTGAAAGCTACAATATAGTCAAAGACTGTAAGAATGGCTTCTGGGTCAATAGATCACATATGACCTAGCTCCATGACTTTGTAGAGGACATCACCAATGAAGAAAAAAGAAATCAAACTGACGTGCTGGACTTCTAAAAGGCATTCGACCGTGTCAATAATAGTTTACTTTTATAGAAACTTCAGAGATATGGGATCAAATGCAACGCCAAAACATGGATTTCAAGCTTTCTCAGCAGCCAATGTCAGGTGGTAATGACGGATGGCACAATCTCATCCTTTGTCGGTGTTAAGTCAGGGGTCCATTAGGCTCGATGCTAGGCCCCTGTTTATTCCTAGCATAAAACAACGACCTACGCAAATAACTGACCTCCCAAGCAAGGCTTTGTGCAGACGACACGGTGGTGTATAGGATGATTGTGATCAGTTCTGACCACAACCAGCTACAATAGGATCTTCCTCGGCTAGTTAAGTGGGAGATGACCTGGGACATGGACTTTTATCCTGCCAGTCTCCAGAAATAGTTACCCTCAACACCAACATTATGAAATGCATGGCCATATGTTTGAGCCAGTTTCCTCCATTAGGTACCCCGGTGTTACCATTCATAGAGAGGTCCGCTGGGACGAGCATATTAACAATATGTTCAACCATGCAAAGAAGACACTAGGGTTCATAAGGCGTAATCTAAAGATTGGCAATTCCATAGTGAAAGAAAAGCCTGTAAAGTCTTTGTCCGGCCGCTTTTAGATTACGCATCTTCAGTCTGGGACCCATTCACCCTGAAGAGCATCGCCAGGTTGCAAACGCTTTGTCCTGAACCGCTACAGGAACACCTCTAGTGTTGGGAGCAAGCTTGAAACACTGCGCAGGTCACTATTGGAGGAACTAATACGACTATCCAGGCTCCCCATGATGTACAAAATAAAAAAATGGTCTGCTCCACTGCCCCAGCATTAAACAGAAACTTTTACCTCTTCCTCCCCCCTCCCCCAGACAGGCCCGAGGCCATGAAAGGCAGTTTCGGCATATAACTTTAAAAACACGGTACAGGAACTGCTCACTACTGCCAAAGACAATTAGGGACTGGAACAAGTTTCCAAAAAGGAACATTTGAGGCGACAACACTTGACACATTTGCCTCCTATCTTCCAATCCTCAGTTCCTGGTACCCCCAATAAATAGCCCTTGCAACCAGGGAAGTTTCATCTTCAATACCAGGCACAGAAACATTGCGAATCCCCTGTACATACATATTAGCCAGAATAATTATTACATTGATGGTGGGCCCATAAGATATAGACGAATATGTCATATCACTTCTGTTCGATTACAAGTAAAACGTAAATTAAATTTGTTGACACAATCAGATATATTTTTACATAATAAATAAATATTCACATTTGAATGGCTTACCTTAGTGGTTCAAAGGTATCGTGACTTGATCGATTGATAAAACCTTCAGCATCGTCCGTGCTACTAAATCTGATGGCATATTCTAGAATCACGGTGCTGCTCTCCTTGTCGAAGTCGTATGCGAGTTTTTCCAACATAGTCTTGTTGTTTTGTAAGATGAAGGAACATGGCGGAGCTGGTTTCTGACTGTCTGTGGGCGGGAGTAGGCAGAGATACAAGGTGACCACGCAGCACAGGAGATGTGCTGGTATTTCAGTAACCTTTTGGGTCATAGTGAATGGTTACCCCTGATAGACTCAAAGCTGGACTTTGGGTAACTTGTGGCTCCTTTTTCTTCTTTTAGTCTGTGAAAAATAGTTATACAATTTTAATATCTGTTATGGACGTGCTTTAAATTTGTGATAATCTAAATATTAAATTCTTACACATCCTATCTGTATAAACTTTTACATTATAGAAGATCGAGTCAATAATATTTAATTTTGGAGTTCAGTGGCACAAAGTTGTGTTCGAAGACGGGAGAAACATTGAAGAACATATTGATCACATCGAAATTGCAAGTTGCCTTAATCAAGAAAAATAGTAATGAACAATCAGTTCTATTTTTGTGTCATTGATATTCTTTAGTAACATCTCGTTTTATTGGACGTTCCAGTTCCTATCAAAATGATTTTTTGAAACATGAGACTGTCATTAATTAGGTTGAAATAGTACAAGGAAAAATATATTGAAACCATTTTTTAAACCACAATGTATATAATTTAACAAAAAGTCTATCTTTAATTAGTTCGGAAATGTATCTGAAGCAAACTATAAATTTTCGGAGGAATTATAGTATTTACTAAATTAACTAGCTATAACTATGGAATGTTATAATTTTAATTTTCTAGTTCACCTGAAATTCGTGCGTATTTTTATAGGCAAAAGAAATGTTTAATAACACCAAGACCCTAAGAGTTACATTGCACCTATCCAGTGTCTTCTTTTTCCTAAGCTGAACCCCCAGCAAAAGTGGGTAGACCTTCAATTAAAAGAAGCTCTTATAGAAACGCGTTACATGACTGACTCGTTACAGAATTGTGGATGGCTCTTGAAAATTGTATTTTATCAAATAGGCCAAAAAACATTTGGTTCATCTTTCCCCATTAGTGACATTAATCAGTAGAGGATTTGAAGCATAAATCTATGCTGTCTGAACGAGGGAGTAATGGAGGTTGGACTTGAACGATAAAAGTTTAGTGATTGTGTACCTGATATTGAACCTGGTGATTCACTCAGCACATTTTTTGTGTTGAAATAGAACAAAGAGATTCATTCAGCGAACATATTTTGTCTTGAAATAGAACAAAGCGATTCATTCAGCGAACGTAATTTTTCTTTAAATAGAACAAAGAGATTCATTCGGAGCACGTATTTTGTCTTGAAATAGAACGAAGCGATTCTTTCAGCGCACGTATTTTGTCTTCGAATAGACACAAGCGATTCATTCAGCGCACGTATTTTGTCTTCGAATAGACACAAGCGATTCATTCAGCGCACGTATTTTGTCTTCGAATAGACACAAGCGATCCATTCAGCGCACGTATTTTGTCTTGTCAAAGACATTAATTATATTGCAATCCTGCAATCGTTTCGTTGTAAGATGAAAGCATCATTGTCATATGAATAGAGCAGCCTGTTCGTGGGAATGGAGCAGCATGTTCTTGGGAATAGAACAGCATGATCATACGAATAGAGCAGCCTGTTCGTGGGAATAGAGCAGTTTGTTCGTGGGAATAGAACAGCATGATCATACGAATAGAGCAGCCTGTTCGTATGAATAGAACAGCATGATCATACGAATAGAGCAGCCTGTTCGTATGAATAGAACAGCATGATCATACGAATAGAGCAGCCTGTTCGTATGAATAGAACAGCATGATAGTGGGAATAGAACAGCATGATCATACGAATAGAGCAGCCTGTTCGTATGAATAGAACACCATGATAGTGGGAATAGAACAGCATGATCATACGAAAAGAGCAGCCTGTTCGTGGGAATAGAACAGCATGTTAGTGGGAATAGGACAGCATGATCATACGAAAAGAGCAGCCTGTTCGTATGATTAAAACAGTTTGATAGTGGGAATAGAACATATCGAATATGGAAATGGAACATTTGAAATGAATTGTTCTCATTAAATGTAATACTGAATAAATACAAAAGCATGTACTTGTACCATAGCCCCATTTTTAGTTTCACGATTTTCCGAGGAAATCATTTTATCGGTCATCAAAAAGATATCGTCATATTCGTTGTTGAGTTTATAATATGTGTGTGTGTGTGTGTGTGTAAGGTTTATCTTTATACTGACCTCATACATTAATTATCTTGTTTGATGAAATTCATGTTACCTTAGGAATCACAGTCTCTAGCACAGCACTATTCCCAATAGTCCACGACAATTATTTAGTTTTAGATAAAATTATTTTGAAATCGCACAGCATCTTGACATTTGCAAAGATCCTGTGATTGTTAATTATGAGATATTAGTATTAGATAGCGAATTGTGTAACTTTCTTACAAACATATGACATATAACAAAATGGAACAGATTGACAAAAAAGATCATCTACTATCATGTGGTGTAATTAACTAGAAACAGTTTAAAGAAAAAAAAAATTGTTTAAGAATGGCTAGATATTTACCCTCACCCCCCCCCCTTTTTCCACACACACACACACACATATTCAAAAACATAACAATGGATCTTTTTTCTTATCTATTGACCATTTTTATTGCACAATAGCCTGATCAATGTTTTATTTTGTTACAAAACTGTTACAATGTGGTTTTTAATCTTCCCGCTGCTGTGTTATAAAACCTTCAAGTATCCGATATCTTTATCTATAAGGTATTCGACGTCCCACCCTTTCTTGAAACACTTATAACCTTGAAGTTTCTATAGCGACTGTTTAACATTTTTATTTCTCATCTAACCGCATTGATTCCAAAACCATTTTTTTTCTTTATTGTTCTTCTTTCTCTCTTTAAATAGAGTCGAGTTCATTCGCAAAACCTGAGCCATCAGTCTGTGTCGCTACACTATTGACTTCTTGCTTCTCTTCAGTTAGACGTAGGACCAACGATTCAACGATAGACTCTATGTGTCGTACCAGTTTACGGAAAACTATTTAAATTTAACTATTTTAAAACCACGGTGCGTCTTATCTTCCCGATGCATGGATTGCCCTAATGTTGTCATAGGCAATACTGAAAACTTGCCCCAGGTCTTGTAACTTCTTGTTGATGAAATTCAGCTCCTGTGCAATGTCAAGAAGAAAAGCCAAGTCTATGAGCCATTTAGGATCACAGTACAGGAACAACCACCCCAGCCTTAGGCTTTGAAGGCTTAAACATGTTCAAACAATAGGCAGGATCAGGAAATATTTATCAATTATTGATCGAAGGAAAATGCTATTGTAGGGAGAAAACATTTTGAATTTTTTTTTTTAATTGTAGAAAAAGCCTTTTTGACTCATCCTATTTTCACAGTCAACAAGCTGAGAGGCTTAGAATTCACCTCACTCGTATACACTAGCGGCAATTTTAATATAGTTTCTTTGATACTGTGTCAGATGGCTACTATTTACATAATAATGGTTGTGCTTTACCCACTAACTGATTTTTTCAACTCTTCTCAAAACCACACTTAGGCCATGTTTGTCTCATAAAATGATATAAAATAAAAACCTTATAGATATTCATTTATTTCTGGCTATTGCCATTCTTCCGTCTTTGCTCAGCGCTGATCTCCCATTGGTTGATTCCCATGTTGGCTGCCCACGTGATCCTTGTGCTAAAGTCCTTAAATCGCAGCTTCGGTCGTCCAGTTAAGTCTTGTTCCTTCTGGCAACTGTCCAAGCAGCTGATCCTTTAACAATACGTTCTTCCTATATTCTCCGTACACGACTTAACCAGCGCAGTCGCCACTTGTTTAAACCAGAAAACATGCTACATATGTTTGATAAACTTAGGAGATTTTCTGGATGCCAAGTACGGACTCGAAGGCTCACGGGAAAGTGGGGGCACAATAAAAATTTATTTAAATTTAAATACAAACAAGTTTTTGAAGACATAAATAGTATTATATATCGAAACAGTGGCGTCGCTAGGAGGGTGTGTTGGGGGGGGGGGCACGTACCGCACCGAGTGACTCCATCTCCGGCGTGACATCACGTAGAAACATCGCATATTTACAGAGGAAAAAAACTGCTCGGTCTAATCGAATTTCCTAAGAGGATAGCCGATCATATGTACATGTTCCAGATACGTAACCAATCCACATGCGGGCTTTATTAAAATTTCACGGTTGATGCCTCATACATGGGGTGACCCTATAATTAGGTCAGATAAACAACGTTTTGGCCATGATTGAAGTGTTTGGTAACTTTCGTAAGTGACAGGAAGCTATGTTTATCTTATTCTGGGAAATAAAGCTTTCCATTGATACCAAATACGCTGTGGTCGAGTGATTCTCAGTACATGAATCGAATCGGTAAAAATTAAACACTTTCAAATATTACACTTTACCCATTTTTTTAGAGTTAACAAAATAATATTTTACAAAATTTTCTCTTATCATTTATTTAAATGTAAGAAATGGTTTTTGAATCAAAATATATCAAAACTAAGATATACTAAATACAGACGTCTGGTAAACCAAATAATTGTCTGCACGCTCTAACACCCCACGTGTTGTGCACGTTGTCCTATATATATAGTAACCATAAAGTCTTGTAGTAACCATAAAGTCTTGTAGTAACCATAAAGTCTTGTAGTAACCATAAAGTCTTGTAGTAACCATAAGTCTTGTAGTAACCATAAAGTCTTTTAGTAACCATAAAGTTTTGTAGTAACCATATAGTCTTGTAGTAACCATATAAAGTCTTGTAGTAACCCTATAGTCTTGTAGTAACCATAAAGTCTTGTAGTAACCATAAAGTCTTGTAGTAACCATAAGTCTTGTAGTAACCATAAAGTCTTTTAGTAACCATAAAGTTTTGTAGTAACCATATAGTCTTGTAGTAACCATATAAAGTCTTGTAGTAACCCTATAGTCTTGTAGTAACCATAAAGTCTTGTAGTAACCATAAAGTCTTGTAGTAACCATAAAGTCTTGTAGTAACCATAAAGTCTTGTAGTAACCATAAAGTCTTGTAGTAACCATAAAGTCTTGTAGTAACCATAAAGTATTGTAGTAACCATAAAGTATTGTAGTAACCATGTACCATTCATTCCTGGAGGAATCGACACGATGTGAATCGGAGTTAGAGAGAGCGATCGAGAGGGAGGGAGCATGAGAGAGAAGGGAGAGAGACAGAGGATGATAGATAAAGACAGAGAGAGACAGAGGTTGATTTTGTGAGAATTTAATTGGTTAAAGAAACAACGATGATAGAAGCTCAGCTTCAACACAAAATAGCGGAATATTTGGAACAGGGAACAAAATTTCAAACAAAAAAAACCCAAGAAATTAAAATGGAATGTAAAGCAAAAATGGTGCTGTAAATATAACAAATATCAAAACGTCGAGACATAAATATCAAAACGTCGAGACATAAATATCAAACTCATTTAAGAATCTCATTTATTAGTTTGCCGTTAAAAATAATAGATACGACTCACTTAGTCATATTCTTATAAAGCAAGATATTAAGACTTTTATATTCCTTACTAATTCAGACACATACCTACTATGGAATGATTTTCCAACAGAAAGAATCATGAATGAAGTAAGTTGTAATCCTACAAATTCTTGATAATCAAGTTCAATTTTTTTTCTCGTCTATAAAAGTTGAAAATTTTCATTTTTTGACTTGTTTCAATAATGGATTTGTGTATAATTTAATGTGTTGAAATGTATGCAGTACTCTGGGCTAAAACGGATTAGAAGAGTCACAATTTAGATTGATTTTGGCAAAAAATGACTTAAGTACTTTTAGCACTGTCTTTGTTTGATCTATGGTCTTTTTTTTTTTTTTTGAGGTTGTCTTTTAGTAGGGGTGTTTTCACGAGAATGTGAAC